TGAATAGTAAAAGGTGAATAAAATGGAATTCTCCGACACAAGTACAGAGATGCGCCCCAAATGATGGGGTAAGGAGAAACACTCTCTTTACGCGAATGAGAATTAATGAAAAGCGTCCTTCGCGGCGGGACGACTTATTCGTCAAAATTTCAAGCTGAAGTCGTAGCGAACGGCCGAGAGCTTATGTCGATTCCGGGTTTTCACGGATCCCACAAGTGCTCCGAAGCTCCTGCAAAATGGAGGCACTATGCTCTCCGAAACATCTTGTGTCACACGAAAGGTCCTCAAAAGATCCTGCGAATGTCGCGTCGGGTCGCTTCGAAGACCAGCTTTACAACCGAAGTTCCGAGGAAGGGTTTGATTGTTGCTTGCTTGCCTACACACATTCCTCCAACGTCCAAACATGACCGGAGAACCTCGGCGACCACGGAGTTTATTTCTTTATGACCTTCCTTTCGGTGACGCCGAGCCAAAATTCGAAGCAACGATGGCTCATCCAATTTGCGGCACTGTCCAAAGTTGACGTCAGCTGAGTTTTCCTGTGGCTCGGAGCCGAACTCGTGCTCCGATCGCAATTCTTGGGCTTCGTGCAAAGTTTGTTCTGTCGACGCGACCACATAAATGTGGGTCATCGGCATCATCGTGCCTATGTTGCCCTTCTGCCTGATATAGGAAAACGACATGTATGACCATTCTGTCGACCCGAGCCCGCTCTGCCGAAGTTAGACTCCTCTTTGCACGAGAGGGATGCATGTGGGGGAAGAATGGTTCTTCAGCTGGTTTTCTTTCTGTCAGTTCAAGATGGCGTAATGTTCAAACAGCATTAGTAGCTACGTGCTCACTCATGGACCAATCTCGTCACGCGACCGCTCGTATGCAGGACTGCCGACGAAAAATCTCTCTTACTGTAGGAAACTCACGCGAGGCCATACAGTGTCCGTTTCCTCACCTTGACGGACCGCCCCGCATTGACGCATCCCTTCGAGATGGAATCACTCGATGAGAGTGGTCGAAACGGCCAGCATTCGAATATCGATCCTGGGTTCCTAGAGGCGCAAGCTTCTTCAATCATAAAGGATTCCCGAGCTTCCAAGACAATGATAACAAACGCTTTATTGGTGTTTCAATATTTCCCCCTTTACCTAAGCTTTCATGACCTTATTCCACGGTCTCATTTTGTTCTGATTGATGTATTTGCTTAAATGCGACCGATAGCCAATGTCGGAGGAGGCTGACTAACGATCCGAGTTCTATTCGCTCACAGAAAACTACTCCGCTGACTGCTCACAATGGAATCCGTATTGGTTTCTCTCCCCAACACTCGGACTGAGAGATAATCGAAAATTTAGAACGTGATAAGCGGCGATGGAGCCGATCCATCGGCACCCTCATCTGCTAATCTGCTTTCGAGTCAGTCACTCGGTCAATCAGCCAGTCCATCGAGAGACCATTCAATCAAACAGCCACTCAGTCAGTCAGTAAATCGATTAAACCACCGATCAGACGTCAAATCTCACCTGAGTATAGGTGCCGACGTTGATTTCTCTTCCCGCTAATCACAGAGCATTGTGTGTTATTCCGCTAATCATTTCCAGAACTCCATCGTCGTCCTCGAATTCTCATGCCTATAGCATAATGCCGTCAATAACTCAGATCAGATGTGCGACAGAGAAGACCACTGTGTGTCTCGGGAAACCTTCCGATCGCGAGAAAGCGTCCTCCACTGTCAATTTATTTGCCGAGATTTCTCGATCAGGACTCGGTCGGAATCCGATTCAGTGAATTTCTCTGGCGGACGTGATTCTTTGCATCTAGACGATCTCTTTCTTGTCAGTCGATAACAGTAGTTGGCTTTGTGTCTCCGCTGATGTATTCGGTAGAGTTTTCATCCGATACTCGTCTGTGAAGAAAACTAGATTCAATGTGATCTCGTGAGTGGATGAGTCTCGTGAATGCTTATGAGTGAGTCAGAATATATGAGTGCCGCAAGACTTCAAATGCAAACAACTTTTATGCGGGAATAGAGGAATGGAAATCGACAATCATAATTATCGCGGTTCTGATTAGATTTCGATGTATTCGTACGAACGATCTAGATTGAGGAACGACGACTCCGTTGAGATTTGAAGGATATTGCATCCACGGAAAAAACGTTTTTATCCACTTGGAGTAGTCGTTCTTCATCCATCCCTGCTGCGGAAACCGGACAGGCAACGATTCTCCTGAGAGAATCACTGCGCGGGAAGCAATGCAATAATCCGCTTCAAGCTACGGAACTTGATCCATAAATTGATTGAATCTTTCCATCAAACGGCAAGAAAGGATTCCCGCGTGACGCTGAGGTTCTCGCTTTGGCGAGCCCGCGGTTCCTGTTGCGGTTTCGCTGTGTTAGCATGGGAACTGCCGATTCTTCAGCCTCTCGAAAAAGACAGAAACATTTTCTCGAGCAGTCGATTCCCCATGATCGACGTGATTCGCCTCTCTACTATTCATGTATACCTTCGCAGACGGTCATTGCTGTCTCGGATCAAATTCTTTTTCGATTGCAAGCCTCTGGCAGAAAGCCATCAGAACGCCTTCGACGAGTAATTATCGTGAGGTACAAATGGACAAATGATCGAGCTCATGGCTTGAAACTTCATCGGAATCAATGAATGGGTGACGGGGCGAGAATAGAAGAGCTCCACCCGATAGGTATCGGTATTGCCCCAAAAAGTATGGTGATCAGAGGGGGGAAGAGCTCTCTATTGATGAGGTCATAGAAAAATATTCATTTAGTCTTCAAAAAGTGGTTTTAGATTCGCTAGGCAACAACTTGGTTTGATGGGGTTTCATGTCTGATGATGAATGATTATTTTTTATCGATGCTCATGGAGATAAGTTTTTTTAACAAGTTGCAAAAGTGAATGAGGCGTTCCGATGCTCTCGCATGTGCGCTGGTTTGCAAGCCGAAACATTCAGGTTTCTCGTTGTGGTTCTCGACAAGACCTTCTTATCCTCAGGATGAGGTCGGGCAAGTCCCTACTCATGCTTTCCCTCTTGCATTCGTTCTAGAGTCCTTCCTGTGTCAGGAATTGTATATATCAATTCTTGACTCTGCATACCGCCGAAGCTACTCGGACATGTCAGGTTTTCTTGTTGTCGCCGACAGTCAAAAAAGGACAGGTGAGACGGTTGAAAAGTAAAGGAGGTAGGTATCCAGTAGATGCACTCGAAGATGGAAAGCATCTGAAGTCCTGTGTCAATTTATGCTGCGGTCGCCTGATCTGCATTCGGAGAAGCTGCCAAATGTCGAATCGTATCCTGATACAAGCACCTCAATCGCGTTTGAATCTACCGGTTTCAGGATTTCAGGATCAATTACTTCTTGATCGAACCGCTACCCGCAGAGCAGCGAGTTACTCCCGAATCAGCCGATCCGAAACTCGTCTGGGAGATCCCGGTTCAAGATTCCATTTTTAAAATGGCTCGGCAACCTATTAGAATCGATGGAACGAATCATATACGATCCGTTTCACCAGGGCATCAGATTCATCAGTATCGACTGGAAATAGAGGGTCCCGAGCGCGTGCCTCTCGGCATCGGACACTCCTACATGACAGACGATCAACGGGGAAGAGCTGCCTGAAACTTGTGTCCCACCACAAGCCAGGTCCTCTTTCGGAGCCGAATGGACCTCTAATTCCGGGCCTTCCCCCTCAGGGAAAGTAGTCGCCGGCCGATCGCCTCGAAAGACGAACGGAACTCATCACACGGAAAGAACATGACTGCTTCGGAAGCTTCATCAGAAGCTGAGTGGAATGACAGGTGGCTTGGGAACGTACGACAACATTTCTGAATCTGACCCCGAGTGCCAACACAGTCGAGGATCCAGAGAATGTCTTCTCTGGGTTCCGGACGGATGCCTCCATTAGGGGCAGCACCGACCGTACCTCGAGTTATGCAGTCAGTCTGGATTGCCGGGCGTCTCACTCGATCTGGACGCGTACCGAGTGAGTTTTCCCGATTTTTTTCGGAGAAAAGGATCCAATGTGGATCGATTTAGTACGCTGAGGGGCTGTAGAGAATTCAAAGGTATGACAATGATGACCCGTAACATTGCACTGGGTCTTCCTCGGCCCCGGAGATCGACTCTCATTCTCAAAAAGTCAGAGGAAATAGTCTGAGTTCTACCCGAGTTCGCTCGAGGTATTCGCAAAAGTTGGCATCTATCCGAAAAACATATCATACAGCTCGATTGTATGATTAACAATATATAGAGTAGGAGAATATATAGCAATATGATTAAGAAAGCCCCTCGCTGAAAAACTGACGATGTCGATGTACAAAAGGCTAACCCTTCAGGGAAGCTCCGATCTCCTCCTCCAGGCTCGGCTTCGGAGCGCAATTCATGGGTGCTCGCATTTCCCTTCCGGATTTGCGTAGGCTGCTCTGATCTCTGCAACGGATGCGTTCTCCAAGCTCGTCCATTCCAAGGAGCTCGGCTCGAGTAAGTTACACGCAGCGGTCGAACGCGGTCTTTGAATCAAGTCTCTATCGCTCATTTTGAATGAAATAATCCGAAATGCAGGCTTGGTAAGGGCGCGGTCGTCGATTTCGGAACGGACAGGATTGGGTCGCGAAACCGTCGAGGTACTGAAGAAGTGGGCACTCCTCACCAAGGGGATCGGGTGGCCTCTGGGTCCCACCGAGAAAAAGAGAGGTGAAGAGCTCTTCCGAGGTGCGTAGGAGCCTTATGCTGAGGCATGCATCTACATACCACACCAGAACTATACTTAGGTATTAGCCAGCTTTCGGGAAGGCGATGAGACCGCTTTGGATTCAGGGAATTGATGAATTACGAGATCGGATGGGCAGGTGAACAAAAGGTCGTAATACAATCATCCGAAGCACTTCAGTACAGAAAACACCGACGGAATGCTGAAGATATATACTAAACATTTGCGAAATTGTCGTGACTCGAATGAGCATCAGACGCACACAGAAAATCCCGTGTGCAGCACCGCACTAATCGTCTTCATCTATCAATAACGAGGTCGGTTCGGGCAGATCAAACTCTTCCTCTCCCTCATTGAGGTCTTCCGCGCTCCTCCCCATTCTGTCTTCTAGCCGCTCGTCCTCGTCCTCGAGCTCGTGAATCGGTGAGCTGCTCCCGCTCTCCCTGCTCTTCGTCACAGGCTCCGGCAATGGACGGAGTTTACGAATATCTTTGAGTATCACACCGCTAGCTGATAGGTGTTGATCTTGCAGAAGTTTTCGCGCGTTCTCAATTTTCACGAGCACCTTGCATGGGATCGCCTTTTTAGAGAGTACTCCCACATTGCCGGACACATTTCTCGACGCATCCGTTGATGCCCACGCTTCAGAGGGCGACAGGGACCAGAGGACGAAGTTCAGGGACTGTTAGGCCTGAAGATATGGAAACTTGTTGACGGTGTTCGCGTTGATAAATCTCGGGACCAAGAGCAAGCGTTCGACAAAGAGCCGATGCCGCCACAGTCATCGATATCTGATTGGTGATGAGTCGTTTCAAAAGCAACATCGACTCACTTTCCGCAAGGAGTCTGGACAGTCCGGCTGCTTTGAAGGATGTGATTTTATAAAAGGTTCGAGCGTTGTCAAATGCGAGTCAACTGCGACGATTTTCGGGTAGCGCGACATGTCAACGCCAAATCGTCGCGCGTTATAAACCTGAAAACCGTATTGAAGTCACTGTGAATATCACTCCTTGGTTTAATCGTCGTTAAATCATCAACGCTCTGGACCGCTAGTCCAGGCACCCATACTGGACGATTGGTAAGGGCGGCTCACCTGAGGTACTAGGCAGAAATCGGCTATCGTAACATGTTCGCTTATGCAACATCCTGCAAAAAGGGTCTGTCAGGCAGGGGAAAATAATTTATCTCAGCCTACTATTACGTATTAAACGACCACTTCAGAAGAGCGGGAAGGTTGACCTACCCGTTACGAATACACGATCGGATAGTATTCTCTCTAGGGCGTCAAACCCCTTGTTGATGAAATAGCGAGCCCATTCCTGCCGTTGATCGACTTCCAGCTGGAACCGAGATTTTCGAGTCAGAAGATTACGTCAGGAACCAAAGCTCGTGCTTTTCAGTCAAAATCAGCCTGGGCATATCTTATACGACTCACATGATTTAGGGTGCCGAGGTTCTGAATGGGTTGAATGCCGCTGACAATGAGTTGGCAGATCGCTCTGCATTGAGCTCTCTGAATCGCATCTGGGGAGTCGAAAAATTGTCAAAAATTTTGAATTTAATCTGAAGGGGAAGACCGCTGTTCTCCAGTAAGCCCGTCAGCTATACGTGTGGCGGAACGAACTACCGTTCGGCCGGCTAGATCGGACCGAATGAGACAGGGGACAAGAACAGCGTCCGGAAGACAAATACCCTTCGGCAACATATTCAGTCCGGGGAAGGTCTCGTCGATGTACTCCATGATTGCCATACTCTGCGTCAGGTTTCCAACGAGCTCTCCGTTCTCGAAAACCTGAAAGGGAGACCTTTGTTTTCGTTCCTGTTCGAGAATCCGAAAATATCCTCAAAAGGATGTTCTGGGGCTTCCATCTCACCTGCAATACTGGAACTTGCGATAAGGGATTGAGCGCTCTGAATTCATCAGTGTGCTGTTGTTTGCCTGCAATTTGCATGAGAAACGAACGTGAGATCGAACTCCTGGGCGAGAATTCCTTTTTATTGTACCAGTGAACTCTTCATCTCGTCTGAGGGTCTTGGATACTAAGCGACTTGAATTCTTCCGCTAACCATGGGACACCAGGACACAGCTATCGGACATTGGGCGAAGATCGACTGACATCGCTCTCCGAGGTCAGAGAATCTCATTAAATAGATAATAGATATGACCAACGATGAACTTACCTTCGGGAATATCTTCCCTGATGTTCACTTCTTTGAATGAGTATTTCAGACCCTTGAACTCAAGAGCTATTCTCACTCTCCACGCACAGGAGCTCCGAAAGTACGAGTGCAGTACCAGTGTACGAGGTCGCGGCATCTTTTTATCTGAACAGAAAAACATGATGGGCGTGAGTTCGAGCTCATCGAGTATCTTCGCTCGAGTACGAATTCCCGCTTCAACAGAACTTCCTTCCTCCCATCTTTCTTCCTTTCCTGATGTGAGGATGTACTCCGGTTTATCGTTCGTCTGGATCTCTACTAGTCGGTTCTATACATATCTATTGTGTCGCATAGAAGCCAATGAGCGTGGTGCGAGCGTCCCAAGACCGACCGGGGGTAGATGCGATTATCTAGGAGTAAAGTATACGGAAATTGATGGACCGCTCCTCCACCCAGGAAGACTAACCTAGAAGATCAGCTCGCGACGCTGAAGTTTCTCGCTCCATTCTAGTTTGGTATGGGGAACCTGTTCGACTCCGACAAGACAAGTCGTTGCTCGCCGAACTGCTCGATGCTGTCACATGAAAATTGTTTCGCCTCGTCTGAATCTTGAAATTTTCAGATGATCCTTATCTTTCCCGTAACGGAATCGACTCGTGCAAAGCGATCAACATCAGAAGATGCCTCGCAGGATCCCTCCAGAGCTTCCTTGAGCCAGTACAAATCATAGCGAAAAAGAAAGAAATTCCGGTGACGGTGGCAGTACCTCCCACCAGTCCCTGTCTCCTGTAGAATTTCTCCCATAAGCTCTCTGGATGAATCGGCGTAAGTTCGAGCAGGCACTATCAGCATTCCAACTCTATGTCTATACCGACACAAGCTACATTCCATTACCAGACGCAACGGTGCACTGAAATTAGAACTCTACAGAGTACTCACTAATAGCGAGGGCTCCCACGTGACACGCAGATAGCGAAATTACGTCTTTATACGCGCGCAGTGCTTCGAAACTTTGACTACGGCGACAATTTTCGACGCGAACAGCTGATCCCGGCTCAGCACCGGTAAGATCTACATACTATCAGCTATCAGCTCATGGTCAACACGATCAACAGCAGATTCGATATATGGCGGAAACAAGTCGTGGAGAATCCGCCTCCGCTCCTAATGAACAAGCGACAAATGAGAGAGGATGCATCATGGTCGCTGCGGTAACGATGGCCAAAGCGATACATGTTCCAGACGAACAACGAACAGGCTGCACATGTCCGGCGAGCAGGTAGCCAAAAAGACAGAAATGAGCTCTGCTGCTTTTCGTACAGGCGTCTCTTGCTAGCTCTGCAATCAGAAAAAAATCTACAGTGGTTTACCTGCAACAGGTACTTTCCGCTCCGCGGCGCTTCCAGCAGTGTGTCCCTCAGCGCTCATATTATCAGCAAGATGAGTTCCGTAGAAAACCGTGCGACAGCTCTTTTTCTGTTCTTGCTCTTCAGCTGTCGCCCTTGGCGCTCGTCTTTGCACTTTTGGCAGAAAAAATATCGAAAAACAAAGTATGACTATCAATATCACAGGTGTGGAAGATGCTTTCGACGTTGCAGCTGAAAAGATGAAAAAAAGACTCGTTAGGATCAACGGGAGTATCCATCCAAAAGGCTCAGCGGCTTGAGCTACATCGGGCCGTAACTGATTTCTCAGCGACTCCATGCTCACCACCTTGAGACGTCCCTACTACGAGCCTTAGGGGGCGGGCGGGATCCGTCCCGCCTGATAATGAGACGATACGATAATAATCAAATAATCAATATACGTCGCGACGAGAGTTCCCTTCCATGAACGTCGCGTTTTTCTAGCCGAATGGAGCATTGTCTCCCATTCGCTTTGAGCATATCACGGCATTCCGTCGTTCAGGGACGGTGGGAAAGTGCAAGGTACGAACGCGCTTCTGAAAGAAAGACCCGGATATCTGAAGGTGGGGCAGATTAAGCGAATACCAGAGGACATCGAGTTGAGGGAAGATTTTCAGGTGGCGCCCGCTGTTTGAGCCGCGGAACGCTATTGAGGGGTCCGGGTGGATATCTCAGAAGCACTCCCGGAAGCATTCAGGTGAGGAATTCAGCACCAACGAATGAGCGCTCCTCGGGGTACCCGGAGGTTTATTTTATTCCGCAGCTCTATTTCTTGTCAAGTTCTTGATCGCTTCGATTGGATGGTGATGAGAGCGGTGAAGAGAGTCCTCATCCTGGGAGCAGCGCGGAATGTACAAAAATCCGGGGTCGTCGGAGCAGACCGTCACACCGTCTCACGGAAGTGCTTCCCGAGTAGCGCGTATCTTACAGATCTCATTCTCCAAAGAGTTTGATGATTGTCGGTTCCGTCCCATCCACTGAAGCATTTCTTCATGTTTTTCCCGCGATCTTCCAGTCAGGGGCGGAACTACGATTCGGACTCGTATGCGACTATAAAAGTCTTGATTGGATCGTGCTCAGCCGCTCCTCAGAAACGCGCGGATGCGAACGGGTCGAGGATCCATATTTCGAAAAACGCCAGCAACAGCAGGGCAAAGATCGAGACCCGGCCTCGATTGTGCTCACTTAAGGATTCGAGAGAACATGCAAGACGAGCTCATGACGGGAATGATGATCGAATGACTCTTCCCGTGTGACATATTCGTGCCGGAGACGGGATAACAGAATTGTTCGTCATCATCAGTGAGCCCCACAAGTCATAACTGGTTACTTCGACGGGAGCTTTGTCCGACGAGGATGATCAGTCGAAAGGAGAAATGGAACGCTTGGGCTAATGAGCGACGTGAAAGCTTTTTCTTTCATCGAGCCCGTGAGAATCGAGGGACTGCATGGCAGTCATGAAATAACGCACGCTGAATTTGCCGTCGACTATCCGATCCGTAGGAATAGTCGCGACTCGCTGTGTCCCGCGATCTGCTCTTGGGTCTTCTCGGTCCCGCTTCCTCAGTTGATCAGAGTGGAGTGCCTGACTCGGTTTCCCGGATCTCCGCCTGACTTGTCCGAGCGATGGGAATGAAATATTCAACATTCAGCTGCTGCTCTCGTCGATTCCTAAGGACAGTGATAGTTCCCGCAGAGGGGGGAAGCACAAGTTGAGAATTCCGGAGTGATGCCGCGAAGAAGTCCCAAAGGAATTCTCGACAGAAAATTCCGAGGCATTGCTAAGGAGAGCCCCGTCAAGTGAAAGGTGGCGGCCCTCGATCCCCCGGAGCATCTTTGGAAGATTCTGAGAACCGCATCGAATTCGATGCGACCCCGGATGCTCGTCGAGCTTGAAATCCGCGCAATTCGGGAGAGTACAAGACAAAGTTCTCGAAACAGGAGCAGGAGGGGGGGCGATATGCGGCCAACGAGATGAAACTAAATTAGCCAGGCGCAAATGCGGAAGGAAGGGATGTCTGCTTCCCCGGACGACCACGGGGCTGTCAAGTGAGTGGCACGCTGTCTGGCTAGGTCGCTGGCTACGCTCCAAGAACATTTAGCTCTTTCTATATTTCCCGATGCAGCGGTACGGCCTTAGGGCTTCCCGAACACGAGGTGCCGGCCGCGGGAGCGGCAGTCATATACGGATCGACACTGGGCCTGACTCTGCGCATATGCATCTGTTTTTATCTGATGCATCGCCATTGATCCCCCTTCCTCCACCCGGCTCTTGCATCCCCAATAGGATCAAGTCTTCCCCGTACGATAGAGCTATTTTCCCGTTCCGTGGAGCGGGTTAGCAGTCGCCAAACGGAAGGTGGCTCTCAATTCTCGGAGAATCGATTGATCTTGATTGTTCAAGGGAGAAATTGGCGAGGTTTTTGCGAGGCTTGGCGTAAGATTCCGGTCGAAACCTGCCAGTCACATACAAGGGCAACTTCTGCTGGAGACGACCGAGTCGGGAGGCTAGGAAGAGTCCGGTGCATTCCTCCATTCCTACCACAACGTCTGACGACACCGTCCCCCCGACGCCCTCTTTTGAGCCCGACCTCCTCCCAGTTCGAAAAAAATGGACGCCGAGATCTTCATGGGAGCCAAGAGCAGGGATGAATGGGGCCTTCAGTCGCTCACCGGTGACGCCCGTACAGGGGGGCGGAATGACGTAGGGGCCAGCTATCAAATCGTGTCGTTTGCAATCGAGCCTTGGGGAAGCTTAACGCTGCACTCGAAAGCAGGATTCGAGGAGAGAGAGCACGGAGGACGAGCGAGTGAGCACGACAGCAGATCAGCACGCTGGAGCATTTAGGAAAGCAACCCGACGAATCGGAGGGCAGGAGATCGAGCGGAGCAAGGGAAAATTGAGGCCTAGCACCCACACTAGCCATGCCACAGCCCGAGCTCTCCGAACACTCTCGCACGGGCTCCCCCGTCAACGCTTCATCGAGCGCCGAGCTCGCTACGAATATCGTCGTTACGATGTGAGTCGTCTGCGTAAAGTGCAGTTTCGGGAATGAAATACGAGGGTGAACGCCAACTAACTCTATGCTGGGGACAACGTTGTACCGTTTGAAAGAAGCGAAACGTCGGAAATGATAAGGCTCGTCAGTGCGTTTTCCCGTCGGTCGTCTGTTTCGTTGTCCTTTTCTCGTTTTGATACCTTCTTAGTTTCTTAGCTCCTCATCGCTCGCAGGCACACGGTCTCGGAAAGGAAGAGCGACCCCCCAATCAGCAGGACGCAAACCACGTGAGGTCTTCCACGGAACTTACGACGACACGACAGTTCATCTCCGACCGGACGAAGACCGATTGTCTTTCTTTTGATCATGTCGTCGCTTTTCTGCCCGTAACCCCTTCCTCCTTCCCGGGAGAGCTCATTGCTGATCGTGATTCTCACGAAACGATCGCAAATGGCTGCGGCCGAATCTCGTGATCGCAGGGACCTAACGCGCCCAGAAGTTCCTCGATCAGCAGAAAGATGACTTTGCTCAGCTAGCTCACGACGAGTCGTAGTCACCGAGCTCACCATCTCCGGAGGATTGGCTCCTTGCTCATTAGATTAACTGGTTCGGGGTTTCGTTCAAAGAAGATCCCGCTACGAATTCGATTAGGATGTCAGCGGGTTTTTCCCTCAGCTGGCATACGGAGCATATCTTCGGACCGCTCCGGCATCGAGGGAACGGACCTCGTCACGTCGGCGTCGCCTCTCGTTACAAACAATCTTCGAGACGCATTTTGCGGACGACCCTCGTTCGTGTGTTTGGAGCGTGACTCGCGATGAAAAGAGGACCCTGTCCGTAGCGCCCTGAAAGACTCCCCCTGCGCCCTCAAGTCCCTCCCGGACGCTTTTCCCCGCCCAACTCGAACGACAACCAACACGATAACGACAAGAAAGTCCCGCGGGTGTATTTCTCTCTTCCTCCGTCTTCGACTTAGGAAATGATTCATGTCCGTCCCCGAGACTCATTCCGTCCTCCACCTTTTCTCAACAATGAGTCTGCAGCTTGCTCAATCTTCTTCGATTACGAACAGGTTCGACTGTGTTGTATGCCACGACGCGCGGCCCCGAAAAGCTCACCCGAGAGGACTCGTAGATAGATTTTGCACTCTCTACTCCGTCAGCAGGTGCGTTCTGAAGTTGGCTTGATAAGCTGTCGTCGACCCGACAGGGGGAAAGTTTCGAAAATCACGGAACTTTCAAGCATCGGAAAATTACCCACCAGGAATCGGAGGGCAATGACGACCTACGGGTGTTGAGGGAACAGCTTCTCCTTTGCTCGGACCGACAGAATGCAGAGCAACGATTCAGCGATTTCACATCTTTCGTACGCCTGTCCTCGAGATCATTCGGAGTCGATTCGATACTTCTCCCTCTTCGCGCGAGAGATAGGGAGAATCGTTGTGGAGTCTTTCAGGGATCGAATTTTCTTGTCTCATCCTGGGTTTTCCCCACGTCACGGAGACTCCTACGCCATGAGCTCGAATGGGTGCTCCATTTGCAGCTCACATGGTTCCCGTTCCACGTCTGGGGCCCTACTATGGTTTGCACTTTTTGCATGGACGAAAGTTCGATTGATGCTCTCGGAAGCATGCCATCAAGGCGGAACGATCAAGTGAATGAGGTTTGTCCGCTTTTGCAACCGTGAGCGGAGTCCGCCGAGATAGGAAATACACTTCGGACAAAAGTTTGTGTGCGAGTCCGATGCATCGTTGCGCGACCGCCGCTGCGTTGGATACTTCCGCATCCAACGATAGATTATCAAGGAGCGGAGACCGTCTCGGAACAAGCTTATCGAACACTTTTCGATCAAAAACCCACGGAAACCTCACACCATCGGCAACAATAATCACCCCGGGAGATCACGCTACGCCCCGAGGATCGGTGGTTCGCTCGGAATGCGACGATCGTATTCCAGGCGGAAAACATGGCACCGGAGAGCTCGCGATTGCATGGTGCGGAAGCATCTTAGTTTTCTAGCATCCGGCCTCCCGTATCTGACGCGGGAATCGAGATGCGAAACGACTTACCATTGGAGCCGCGTCCGTGCTCTCAGTGAAGAGATGTGGCCATCGAGACTACGGCCTGGCTCAAACAACTGTCACTCTCACTGTAGAAAACATATCTGCGGGCATCCGAGCTTGCTGGCTGGCTGGTCGGTCGGTGCGTTCTGCCGCATCACTACCAGCAGCACCAACACTACCGCAGCAGCCTAGCGATCGCGAATGTTGCGAAATATTCCTCGCGAGAAAACCTTAAACCATAGCTTGAACCCCGGAATGCATGGCTCGCAAATGTCAATGCACTCGTCTTCGCACGCACCGCATGGCTTCACCACGAATCTTCCTGCATGTAACTCGAAGCGGTCATTTGCTGCAAATTCCTCCGCAGGCCGACTATGGCCGACAACGAGGATATGGTTCGAATGCGAAACCTGGGGGCCTTCACTCTCCGACCGACTGACTGGCTGGCTTGCCCGCTTGGCCGGCTGGCTGCCTGGCTGGCTCGCTAGCGGATGGCGGACGAGCTCTTTCGCCTCCTGCTGCCCTCCGTCTCACGGAACGACTCTCGCCACTTCCCAAAGGCAAGGCAGCATCGGATGTCGTTGGCGTTGTACGTTTCGGGAAACGTACTCCTGCCGTAACGGAAGCCCACGACACGAGCCGCTTGTCCTTCATTTTCTCGCCTACACATCCACCCATTGCGATCCCCCATCCCGCACGGATCCGTAGCTCTCCAGGGGGGTCCCTGACTCATCCTCTGAGTCTCTCAATCGGTCAAAAACGGGAACAATTTATTCGGAGCAGTCGTATTAATTACGTCGACGGAATGAGCTGAGACAATCGAGCTGATAGATTCGCTCTCCGAAGACTAGCCCGATCGCTCTTTTCCCATCGAAGCAAGAGGAGCGGCGACGGACTCAAGCCGATGAGGGTTTTCCGTGCGGAACTCCGACGAACCGAAACGCGCCGCTTCCGTCACTCGGAGAGCCTGTAGAGTCAAGGCTTCCACGCCCTTTTGACGCGCGACACTACGACAGAGAGAGTCTTTGTGGTCTCACTTCCACGAGAGCGTCCGCCTGCCGCTCCGGCGTCTCACGGCCTGTCTTCCGACTGTCCCTCCGAGATCCTGTCGGGCTGGCGAGGAGCATAATGACGCTGTGATTGACAATCTCGCTATCCTCCATTTTCTTTCCGCAAGCTGTCGGAATGCCCCTCCGATGTAGTGCGAGTACATTGAACTTTGCTGAGGGCATCAGGCTCAGAGGCAAAGGTCACAACGATTAGCGACGGCCAATTTAGACGGCAGACTTATCTCGCGGAAGAGGAAACACTTCGAAAATTGAAGAGCTCTCTCAGTCGGTGCCATATACTCCCCCCAATTGTTGTCTGGCTTGAAGCAAAACAAAAAAGACAACAATCATAGAATCCGCTATGCCCAAGAATCTCCAGGAATTCCTCAAGGGAAACCCCGTCTTGGACCCTGAGCCCCTCACCCACGCTGTCTTCGTTTGGAACGCTCATCGAAGACCTCGACGAGAAGCGGGAGCCGAGTTTCTGAATGGAGCGATGAGAGTGTGGTGAAGTCCCTGACTATGTCCCCGTCCCGCAAACGCATTTCGGTCGCGAAACGAGTATCACCAGGCGAAAAAATTGTACGGGATTCGGGGGCGGGACGTGGAACCGACACGGCATCGCCCCCGGCATTCGTGTCATTCCGCTGATGATAGCTGATCTTATCAAGTATCACTCTCGATTACTGTCCTGTGGCCACGCGATGCATTCTACGCCGCGCCATCGCTGGAACTCACATCCTTCCCACGAAGATATCAGTCTCGCTCGCGATAATGCAAATGTCCAATCATCTGATTTCGGAGAGGCCCCGACCCCAAGGACGCGGCGTCCAGAAGCTAGGTGGCATTTCAGGGGTGGCCCCGTCCTCATACGCGTGCTTCATCGAGGATCAGCGATGATCTGTTTTTTCTGTTCAGAGCGTGCGAGTATCAATACTGATGATGAGGAAACTCCGCGACCCAGGAGCTGATCCGCAGCCGAGAGCTCGATGCCGAAAACGGTAGTGCGCCGGTCGCAGTTGGCCCGAGGTGTGTTGGTTCAGCGAGACCAACGATGCAACCACCGATAAGTCTAATTCGGAAAATGCTTTCTCCGCTCCCTTTCAGCAGCTCTGGATCAGCGTGAAAAAACCAATCTCTGATACCAGTCGTTGTGTACTCGGATAGAGCTGGGACTTACCTAGGGGGATGTGCCAGCGCCCGTTCGTGGGAGCCACGCTTCCCGACGTTTCCTTGCAGTCGAGTATGCAGCACCGAGCTTTATATGAACGACGCGGTCGGCGGTCTGGAAGTTTGAGCGCTTGAACAATAAGAGAGCGGAGACGGCTCACGGCTATCGCGGGACGCTAGGTTGGAGTTGCCGTGGAAAGAAACGTGAGACGCCGAATGTTTTTGAGTTGATGAGGCCGACATCTAGGTAGCCAATCGCCGCAGCCGGGAAGTAATGTCGGAGAGTGCTTGCCTCTCGAAGAGTGGTTCGCTGGAGGCTGCATCGCCGGCGAGACTGGAAGTCCGAGGAGCTGACTCGCGGCAGACAAATTAAGTCTTGGGCCCACCCGTCGCGCCGAAGCTTTTCGGGGAATGCCGAGGTGATTGAGACTTTCGAATCGCAGGGAGCCACATTTTCAACACATTGCCCTCGACAGACCTCCGACCCATGGATGCGAGGAGCCCAATTAAAAAGTCGTTTGTCAAACGGGATCTCTCGAGGCTCGCTGGGCTCGTTGTGGCCTAATTCCGGTGAGAGACATCATCCTTTTGTCGAGAAGGGGAAACATTAAGCCGAGCGCTGAAGGAGGTCGCCCAAGTCCCAATGAATTATCCCTCAGTCGGATCACTGATATTATATGCACAGTATATTGCGGAGCCCACGGCGCCGCTCGACTGCGGATCGCGTCAAGGGAGTCTGTTCGATGACGTGGGAACATCGCGAGACGACTGGATTTTTGAACCCCGGAATCTCGAATATCCAGATAAGATCGTCGCGTTCACCTTCGACTGACGGAAATTCCCTCTCATATCCCTTCCTATCAATAATTAATAGGAGGCCCGGATCCCGAATTCGTGGAAGCTCGTGCTTCGAGTTCCCGTGATCCCTAGGGAGAGATAGTCGAGCATTGCTGTTCAGCGAAAAGTATCCCGCTTCAATTTATTCCGATCTCCGCAGAGGTCTCCGCTCTCCAGATCGTTGCGGACATGCCAAAACGTTTCGTTTACCATCAAAATTATTCTCTCTGCCATATCGGACTCATGCACGTCTGATGAGAGGAAGAGAAAACAGGAAACGGCAGGCGAGACTCAAATATTCTCGGTTTTCTGAGGAACCGCAGCATTGTGCAACGACGACGTTTGAGTAGCCATCAAGAAAGCGTACGAGAGAGCGTCTACCCGAAGGCCCGCCCGTTCGTTCGCCCGTTTGCCCTGAAGAGGAGCAAGGCTGAGCACGTACCAGAGGACTCTTCCGCCGGTCGTGCTCAGCTATAGTCGAACACCAGGCTCCGCAAGGGACACACGCCAAGTCCGTCGGTCGTGCAAACGCATAGACAACTACATAGGTCTGGTCTTTTTGGCTCCACTGGCTTTTCACTGCGTCACAAACTCGGTCAGGGCGGCGAGGGGCGCGATCGTTTCAAGAACTTTTGGCCGTACGTTCTATGCATAAAAAGCAGTTTGACCACTCTACCAGCAGGAACTCTGCTTCTTGGATCGTATATTTCTCCTACAATCCCGCCCCCCCGAAGCTGCGAGCGTTTGTGCGTCTCTCTGTAGAAGCGCTCGCCGAAAATAATTTAAGCGAATTCGGGGCTCGTAATCAGTGCGTTGTGGTTCCGGGTACCCCTTGCATGTTTTCAGCGGGTAGAAAGTCGGACCGATCTCAAATCGGTAGGAGGATTTGGAGACCTCGGAAGATGATGCACCGGAACATATCGCTCTGAAACCCAGGGCGTCTCCGGACGGAGAGATAGGGTGCTCCGGGATCGGTAGGCAGTTGATTGCGAGGACGATTCGTCCGGAACGGTTGCCGCATGAAAGTTCCTACAGGTGCCGAGCCATCCGCCGAACGAGTGCCGCCTCTTTTCCTCCCTCGCTTGCGAACGGAACCAGCTGCGCGTTCCACCCGATAATTTGATTGCTTCCTGATTCGCGGCGCTGTCTTTTTGAAAAATCGGAGCGAGCCCCGGTATCCAATGAGTGGATCGTTCTCCAGCAGTACTTTTAGCTGGGATGCGTCTGCCGCTTGTGCCATTCAAACATAAGAGCGGAGTCTCCTCTTGACTATCGAACTTCGTCAACGATGCCCTGCCTGCTTCTTACTCGATTCTCGTCCCGTCCTTATCCACAGCGATGCGGAAGCGCGGGTCCGGCGTCATTGGACATTCCCTGTCTCGGGCTATGCATTTTCCCGAGGACCTTAATGTGAGATTCCCGAAGTCTCTGGATTCAGGATGACTACATTTTTGATTAGAGAGACCGGGCGAATGGAATACTCACTCGAACGGGAGAAGGAAAACTGGAGAGTAAAACAGAGGTCGGTGCGAGCGTCCCGTTCTCGCGAGGCTGGCCCGAGAAGATCGGAAAATATCCGGAAGCCGATGAACAAAAATAATTCATTAATAATAATTCCGATCGAACCCCATGATAACTGTTCCGTCGAAGATCAGCACAAGCGTACGGCATCGTTCTTGGAAGATCGGAACCCTCACTGATGAGGCGCTATTCAGCATCGCAGATGTGGGCGGCAAGAGACCTGAGTGGCTGTCGCATTCCGTCGCCGTATACGGCAGAGGTTTCTTGACGGTGCCGCTGCCGCCACGTTTGCTATTGGGGAAGATCATGTAGATCGAGCAGGTGGCCTGATAATAATTGTATATGAGCCTTCGAGGGTTGGAATGTCCCCACAGAGATTGCAGACTCGATTCACGACGAGGGAGACCGAACAGGCTCGCAAACGAGAGACTAACACACCGACCGACCGACCGACCGACAGATGGACCGACCGACCGCTAAGCTGAGCCGAAGAGTTGTGTATGTGTGAGCGCGTGGCGTGTGCCAGCTTCGAATAGCCAAGAGGGACCGCGCAGCGGAAAAGATAGAACGCCGAGTCCCCTCTTTCGCCGAGAGCCGCGGTCTGCACTCGAGTTCAGCTGCGCGACGAGCTCAGCGGACAAGCAGGCAGAGGCAACTCGCAGCCAGACAACTAGCTCGTCAGCCAGCCGTCCAGCCAAGCAGGAAAGCAGCAACCAACCTTCGAGGTGTCCAACCTGCTATATAGACGCAGACACAGCATCGCTGAGGAAGGAGGCTTCCACAGGCAATATAGCTCATCGGTTGGTTGGTCTACTAGCCTCGTTGGTTCGAAGGTGAAGTTTCGAATCATTCGAGCCAGACCCAGTCCAGCATGGAATACGGCATCGGGGTCAGAAACCGTTATGAGTTGTTCTACGATGAAATAGGTGATCCGTTAGAGTTGATTGCCAAGCAGGAAGAGGAACGCAGGAAAGCGCAGGCCGAAAAGAAGTCCAAGGTAAGCATCGTTTCGAACAAGCCAAAGAGTCGACAGGGCACACTGCGAGGGTGGCAGTTCGTACCCATGTCGGCCGATTGAGCTGTTGTCGTGACCGTACGTGCGAGCTCGTCCCGACAGACTCCGAGCCTGTGCCTTCGAGCTGAGTATTTAAGTTACAATTCCATGACGCCGATAGCGATGTGCTATCACACGCCCACGGCCCCGGCAAGAGGGCGGATCGTACAACAATCAATTTCCTTGATTTGTGACTCGAGAGGCTGCATGACATCGATGCACAGAAAGCGGCATCAGGGAGTGAAATACAGGTCTGGCTACTCGAGACACTCAATGAGCCTCGTCTTCATTGATAAGGTCGAAAAGTGCTGCGGGGCTCACGCTGGAATCACTGCCAGGCACTTCGGGTCGACAAAGCGGTATTCAAAGCTCTACCGGTAGCTCCTCTCATAAATAGAATAGCCTTTCTATACGATCGCTCTGTCTATTGGCTCCGCGTTGGACGCGGGACGGATATGAATCGTTGGACTATATGTGGCGGTAGACTCGGTTTGTGAAGAGATTTGTTCAGAGTCTCGGCTCCGAGCGAGCATCGGGTTTTTATTTGTGTATCGATCGGAACGCTTGAAGCATCACGGTGGTGATCGCGTGTGTAGATCTGATTTACCTACTACGTTGAATAATTTCTTCGCAGGCGCTCGAGAACAAGAATAAGGATGGACAGAAACCAGTGGCTCCGAATCAGAAGAGCGCAATCGTCAAGGAGAGCATAAACAATAACAACAACAACAATAACAACAAGGTAATCACTAATCACTGGTCATATATCGGAGTTATAGATCGGAGACGACCTCCCTGGATGTATTTTGAGTCTTCTCTCGAGAAACATGGTGGTGAGACGGGATCTCGCAGGAAGGGCACATAGTACGCGTAAAGACCCTCACTGATTCGATTCGCGTGCAGACCCCTCAACAAAGCGGACAGAAAAATCGGGAGAATCGGACAGGAACGAATCCGGACCGTAAGATTCAACGGGAAGGTGCGGACTCGAACCGGAATCAGGGAGATGAGCGTAGGCATAGGAAGCCTCAGGATGGTCAGGACGGCAGGCGTTTCAACGGAAAGGATGGGAAAGGTATCGATACGTAGCGACTTCATATTCGAGCGTCGATTCATTGAATCAGCCTCGTCGCATCACATGTGTTCCGTCTAGCGCGACTCGAAGGATTGATCTGACTTCATGTCGACTTCGGCTCCGGAGCATGGTGGAATGGATCGGAAGTCTGCGGAAGAATTGACTACAGGGCGAATTTTCACAGGAGCTCGTCCGCCTCGGGGGCCCCGGAAAGAAAGCGAAAAGGAACTAAACAATAAGGAGAAACGCGGAAGTGACAAGGCTGCGAAAGTTGAGAGTCCCTCGGTTTCCAATGCCAAGCCCGAGACTACGGATGCAGATGAGGTTTGTTCGAATCACGAGGGTTGCGGAGTACGGTCCCTGGAATAGAGATATTGAAGCTTAATATCGACCGCTGAGCATCTTGACGGGTACCAAGGGCGTTCTGCGATGTAGGAATTGTAACTTTTCCCATTCGCCTCTCTCAAGGAGAAACCGGCGGAAGATCCCGCTGCGATTCCCGGTGCGGAGGGTGAGGAAGCTCAAGCAGAACCTGCAGAGCCGGAGGCGACTGAGATGACACTGGAGCAATGGAAGAAAGAAATGGAGGCGCGCAAATCCAAAGTGAGGTCCACTCCCGCATCAGATCGTCTCGATTGATGCAATTTTATCAGACACCTCGTGGATATCTCCCGAAATATGGCAGTAATGCGAGATCCTTCTTCCAGGCCGCTTACGACGCATCAATTCGGAAACCCAACGAGGGCGAGCATTCGGATCTCCAATGGGATAAAATGACGAGAATCAAGAAGATTAATAAGCAGAAAGATCTCGACGGTATCGCTCACGGAACCTCTTCCAATTTGAGTCACGCCAAAGAAAACCAGGATGAAATATTGGACGAGGAAGATCGGAAGCTCAAACGACTCGAGGTGAAATCAACTTCCATGATAATCAGACACTGAGTGCGGGATCACGCATTTCTCTTTCCGTCACGTCACGCTCGGGCAGTAATGTCTGCAAGCTCTAACGGTGTATCGTGCTCATAGGAAACGCTGTCGAAACAATTCCACTTCTCTGACAACCGCGGAGGGAATAGCTCAGGCACGGGAGGTCGGTCTGGACGAGGTGGTCGTGGTGGAAGCGGCTATGGACGCGGAGGTCGCGGCGGACCCGGCGGAGGAAGCGGTGGAGGAGGTAGCGGCGGAACGGGTGGATCAGGTGCAAGCGGACGAGACAGGGGCGATAAGCAGAGGGAAAATCGAGGTCGAGGCAACAGAGCGCACAACGTACATCTGAACGGCCCCCCAAAGAACCCGACACCCAGAGTAAGTTTGGGGATGCTGCGACTCGGAAGCCGGAGCGCCTCGAGTCTGGCGCTCTTGGTCGAGACGTCCGTGTCGATCTAAGAGAGACCGGACCTTTACTTGAAGAGAGTCAAGGCCCGTGAGACCGTTTCCCAATTGGAGCATAACCGGAACATTTCCGTTCTTCAGGTTGAGGACTTGAATGACTTCCCGTCTTTGGCCGCGTAAACCGATCCATAATGTTACTGGCGATGATGACGAAGACGACAACAACAACAACGACTCTGTCACCCGTCTCTTGATAAGAGAATAGAGAGAAAGATAGAAGCAGTTTCCATTCGGGGGAAAGAATGCGTGTTCAGGATGCCACAGTCATCGCGTATTTCGTTCCCCTTGGCCTTGGTATCGGGCACCTTCCTCCAAGTGGCCGCGTCGTCGGTAGCTGGAGCAGTCTCCGTCGCTTCGATGAGGAATAATTTTGAAACATGAATAGCGATTTATTCTGCAGATCATTGGATTTGAGCGATAGCTCAAGACTAGAAGCCACTGTAAGAAGCACTTCCTACACCAGACCAGCCTTGATTTTTCTTGTCAGCCTTATTCAGTAGACTGAACCATCAGTTTATGCAAGCGCCCGGGTGCGTGGTTGTGTATGCAATTGTGTATATCTGAGTCAGACCATGTTGAATTTTGAGCGAAAAATTGCCTGGGTCGTGTATCTCGGAGGCCGTATTCGGGAGTTCCGCCATCGGCTGGAAACAGCGACCACATTTCGGATCGAATACTTAATTCGCTGAGGAGACTCGTCTCGTGGAGCTGCATCTGTGGAGTAGAGAAAAGCTCGTCGAGTGGGTAGCCGTCCCTCAATATCATCCACGTCGGATCTCGGGTTTACCACCACCACGATGAGCGTGATGGAGGAGAACAGTTTCCGTATGTTGAGTGAGTGTGTATGTGTGAGTGTGAGAGCGTCGGCGCTCGTATGCTAGAGTTCTCGCAGACCCCCCTGATTGAATGGATTTAGATATTGTGCATGGAGTGCACCTGAGGCGCGAAACCTATGATTGTCAGCTTGAAGACCGAATTCCTTCAGCGTATTTCAACTCCGAATTATAGGGATCGAAGCGCGCTTGATTATGCTGCGTGTTCCATACAAAATTTGATATCCGTTCTTCATCGATCGATGCAATCAATCTGACGGATGAGGTGCTTCCGAAGAAGAGATTCTCGTTCGTCGATCGAGCCCAATGTTACGTTTCACCCTCATCCGCCGATATGAGGACCCCTGCGTGCTGATGCGAGCGGCTTCAGAGTTCCTGACCTTGAAAGATCATGATGATGCTTCTTTCAATATTCTCACTCTCTCTGCATAACTATTCTTTGGGTCATATAATCGTATAGGTCTGCAGATTCAGATGATCGGGGTCTGAGTTTATAACTACTATGATCACCATTCTTGTGTCATCATCGTTGATTACCGGTGATACATTGACATGCCAAACCGTCAAGGGCAGCGAGATTTCCTTGTGATGTGCTCGAAATTTGGTTGAAGCTCCAGCGGAGCAATGAAACTTATGCTGCAGTCTCTTCTGATCGAGCGAGTTAGGATAGGTATCCAACTAGGGCTGAAATGTGAAAACCGATTTGGTGCCGGGTCGCTGGCTCATTGAATCTGGATCATGCTCTGGGATATCGGCAGCCATTCGTGCAATAATTGCTATCCGGCTTCCTACCTCTAAACCCAATTGCGAGAATGGAACTTCTCGTGACATGCGAAAAAAGAATCACCCGCTCTTATCGCGCTCTCTTCATTGGCTGCCGGAAGAAAAATCCATTTTTTTCGTAGCGAGAGGCACTCATGAAGAGCGACAAATACAGAAATTTCTATGCCACTGAGAAGTTTCGGAAGTATCAAGCCCTGAGACATTGGCCTGAAAGAAAAGTTCATGGATTGATTTCTTCCGCTCGTCAGTACTCGAGCATTGAATCTAATTCATGGAGAGGATCGGATCGAGGAAGATCGATGATCGTTGACAGAAGGCTGGTGGTGAGAGAAATAAACAGAGATGAAATTGAAACGATTGAGCTCGTCTCTTTCTTAGGAGCTGGAAGTGGCGGAGCTGTGGCAGATAGAGCCTCCGGACGACAATTGGAGCTCGGAAGAGACGTGAGTCTGTCGCCGTCGTCGGTTTATCAGCCTGATTTACTTCAGGATAGAGGAGAGCGAAGCCCAGGAATCGCTCCCTCATCAGGTTTGGGGAGAGGGGTGAGAACCGGATCTCGATGTAGTTCAATATGATGCGGCAGGTAGCGGAAATACGTCTCACCATAGCTTCCCATCGGAAATAATCGTTCCCACAGCGATCCCGCATCCACGTCGGAGAGATACTCAGAATGGCCGTTTGACGCAGATCCTCATTTAAGGACTGCTGATGCGGGCTCATCGAATAAATATATAATTGTTCAGGGTTTTCGAAAGCGGCTTCATCCGACTGCTCCCTCTCCGGCATGAAATTTCTCCTCATGATTTCCGCCTCGCTGTTGGGTTAGATTCCGATTCCTGCTTAATCTCATCCAATGTCTCCTGTAGAGATACTGCTCGCTTCGAGTTGATATGTAGGAAGGCAAATATAGAGAGCAGTCTCATGGAGGAAGGAACGCTCAATGTTTGCCTACATTCACTGACAGCTCTCGTGCGTGGTCATGGTCGACTATTGGAGCCACCAGGGCGCTCGACCGCTTGGCGGTACCACCATCCTTCACCTGTCAACTACGATGATGATCAACTCTATTGCGGGGGATTCACGGTGAGAAAAAAATCAACGTCAAAGCGCTCGATGAACGAGCACCCATCGGGGCAACACATGCTAAACGTGAATACGTAGCAGGAGACCAGAGCTCCACTCTTCCTCGCGTGGGGCTAACCATGCGAGGCGGCCGCCTCTGCCCAGCCGCGGTGGACCAGCACCAAGTTGGTATTGAGCAGATTCACGATGGTCAATAATATGTTCTGAACTGCTAATGTCTTGTCAGACCCAACATAATGTGAACGGTGGAAAATGCGGAATTTGTGGCGATGCATGGAACGCCGAAGTACCGAGAGAAAACGAGGATGGGGGCCGCTACGGATTAGGTCGCGTCTTCAGGACATACTCACGAGTAAGTATATTGAGAGATTATCCCACCGAACAGCATTCCTCGGGGAGAGAATTCACAGGAATTCATCCTAACTCAGGGAGACACCATCGAGAGCACGGTGGAGATCACTGCTCATCACAAGGGTTGGTTCGAATTCCGTCTGGCTCCAGTGACCGGCACGAATGGCACCACGCAAACGGAACTCGATGGAAACTTGCTCTACATTGAAGAAGCGGAGTCCACCAGGTAAGTAGGAAGTCAGCCCTCGGAAAGCTCAATGGAACACCGGAACCGTCACCGATAACTCGCTGCCCTACTCGTAGGTATCATCTCCCAGAAGGCTCGTCCAAAGGCATGTACGATTTCCTCCTAAAACTCCCGGAGAATTTGACTTGCGAGCGATGCGTACTGCAGTGGCACTGGTGGACTGGTACGTTGTCGGATTGAGGGATCGGACGGTCGTGGGGAGCTCGAGAAAGATAAATGTCGGATCTAAGAATCATAATGTCGGAAGTTCTGACGCTTTGGGCAGGTGAACTGAATAGTTCGAATTTCAAGGGAACCGTTGGGATATTTGTCCAGACGGGAAGGGGAGACTGGGCTGCGGACCACAAGAGACCTTTCGAGGCTGCGCAGACATCATGATCGTCGACAGGAGTCCGAAACATGTGAATTGAAACTTCCTCGAAATAAAGCAGTCCTGTACTGTAGATTGCGGCGAGATGATAGCAAGGCGGGACAAGATTCGTGACGCAATGGAGTTCGATGATATTTTTTGAGAAATACTTTATTCTCCCGGAGACGTGGAGTTAACGTCTGCCTTCGAGTTCGATCTTTCTTTGACATGCCTGAATTTTCTCGTCGACAGGTTTAAACTTGCCTCTCGGATCGTCCATTCGACGGAAATTATTGAGACATTGTTCGAACTCTACATTTTGGCGATCGCATCTCATTTTCATCTTGCCGACAAGCTCCAAGTAATCCTTGATTTGATTGTTCCGAATGTTGTGCTCCTGAAAATCGAGAGGAGCGTTTCGAGGTAGAATCAGGAGTTCCTGTTCATCCGCAGATATGAAGCTAAATATGACTGATTGGGTTTAAAGAATGGAGCCGGCTAAAAGCATTGCGGCTCTTTGCGAGTTATATCCTCCGACCGTATACCTCCCGGCAAGCACCTACTTAGGTCCCTCTGCCACCAGTAGGGAGCTCTAATGAAATGAACAAACGCGCGGCGATCTCAGAGGATACGTCATATCCCACCGTTGAGAAAATCCGAACGCGCGAACATCGTCGGCGCAACGACAGTTCTCCATCATTCCTTGGCTGACTCCGTACGAGGTTCACAACGTTACCGAGGACTCACTTTTAGGCAAGCGTCGATCTCCGGGGGAACGAGCAGCTCACGGAAGAAGGACCAGTGATACGGATCTGGAGTTTCACTCCGAGCCAGCATAGCCGTGAGGAGAAGGCATGCCGTTATGGACACAAGCAGCTGGGATGGCTCCATTCCTACCTTCAAATAATAGAACACGAGTCAAGGAAATTCCGGGAAGGCCGACGAGGTACGTATTGCAAGGCGTAGAAGGGTTTGTCTTTGACTCGGGATGTGATCTCGTTGCTCCCTCTGCTCCGGGGGAGTCAGTGGGGAATGGCGTGTCTTCATCGAAGCGCCGAGTGTGGGTCGCGGGATATCGGAGAGCGGACACATGGAGGGTTTTTCCCTGAATCTCGACGCGGAGGAGAATTAGTCGAGGTCAACAATTCCGCACTGAAGCGTGTCGATTTTCAAACACATCCAAATGCATCGCTTCGATTGCGAGCTAGCGCTGCTCCTCGTCTCAATTACACTCTAATACTCTTACACGTCACTAACGTCCGCTGAACGAGCTACGCCCGGAGAATAATCAGGGTTATGTGAATAAGGCGATGATGGAACATGTACCATGGACTCACTAGTGCGCTGCGAAGTTCCGATGCAGAGCTCAAAGTCGTCCTGACGTTCTAAATCTATGAAACGCTCAGCTATTGAAAATCGCAGTCTCCCCACAATCAACGCCCTTCGAGAACGGTTCTCTCAGACGGAATGGAAAATGATACTCGAAGAGCGAGACTACAACGGATACGCATTCCGTCAATGGGTGAGGGATTCTTCGCCGTCTTACGGGAATGAGCTTTCCATGCAAGTCGCTGACGCTTGTTTTTCGAGACACTCAAGACTGGTACCTAGAGAGATTCCCCTCCTGTACGCCGCGCCGTTGAACTCTCGCAGGATGAGGAAATGGGCGTTCGCAACCTCCCGCGGAACTTTACACCTGAGACTCTACATGCTGGGAGACCTGAGAGTTCAACAGCGCAAAGTTGATTAGGCACAAAGCGCAGAATTGATTAGGCACATCTCACCCCGTATCACTCTGCCCATGAAGCTTCCTCTTCGGGCACATTCAGATACCGATCTGACGGAGGGGTCGCGGACACGGAATTCTTCCTGGGTTCGAATCCCATCAATGATTAGATTTTTCGCGGAGTGCGTTGACGAGATCCAGCGGTTTTGAGTGCCACCGACGAGGTGCTGCTCCTGAACCCGTGGTAGATGTACCCGGATAGGAGGGCTGCCTCGCGTATGTTTTTGCGGGAGCCCGAAATCGAATTCTTCCCGCAGAGGTTGCCATCGGCTACATCCCTAGCCTGCCTGGCGTCTCTCTCCGGGATGGAGTCACGACGTAGAAGCGGTGACGGCAGGAAGACAGTCCTCTTTCTCACAATTCGCTGGGCCTTCTCTCCACTCGACAATCTCGACGACGTCAAAGGGGATATTCGGTGCGAATGATCTCCTCTCTGGGTGCATCACCGAGATCCACAGGCTCTCTGAAAGTTTCCTTCTCTGCGTTGTACACTCCCTTTCCGACCTCAGGATGACCCAACCCTGATAAGGAGGGAAATAAAAAACGCAGATCTATTTAGAACCGTTCTCGGCAATGATAGACGATGTCTGTAAAGGGTGTACCGCGGTCCAAGGGCCTATCGTACGAGAATCGACCGAAGAAAACTCGCGGAGATGGGACGCTGACGTCCTGTTGTCCGCGGGACGTCCTTAGATCAATAATTACCTCCGCCGACCACAACGGCCCCGGCAACGAATCTTGAACTAAGAGTTCTCGGATCCGGTTTTAGTTCTGGCTCGCCGCGTGACCGGAAGGTGAGTTGATTTCGCGGGCCAGCAAGATCCTCAAGTTCGAGATGAGATGCCACAAGGAAATATAAGCAAAATATGAATAGTATATGAAGAGTAAGCGCACGTTCGAAAGGACTCCGCTCAGAATCCGTCTCGGATTGGAACGAAGCTCTTATTGCGCGAACCCTCAGGATACGACATTAGGATTCGCTGTTTGTTCCGTTGATCCCTTGACCCATCATTGAATAACTCTGACATCCGTCCTCTCTCAATCGAATTTGCAATCGCCAATATGTTACCGATCTGGAATTCGTTCCCTGCATGACCTGACGGATTCCGAGGAATTTCGCGCTCCTTCCGAGTTATGAACGAGACCGTCAGCAATAGTCTTGAGGGATTTATAAATGCATCAGATGAATTGCAAGCTGTCGCTTCGACTCCTCCGAGCAGCTTGAGATCAATGGTGAGCCGCAAGCCTCATCGGGTGGTTGAACAACGAGTCATCAGCTCTTGGAGACGGAATTATTCTAAAACTTCTTATCACGGCGTTTCCGAGATAGGTATCTTCGAGACTGAACCGGGCTCTTGGATTTCCATGCACTCCAGCTCCCGTCCCGGTTCCGAGGACGCTCCGTGACTGTGTGAAGCCTTCTTGTCCGCCTCCGGGGGTGAGCCCTTCATCGTATCGCAACTCGTTCTAAAAGTACCATCTGCTCGGGACAGAGTGTCCTGCACATCGATGTGACTCCAGAGATTGCGGAAACGATCCTTGTGCGTTTTTGGGTGTAAACAACCACAGGAGTTCCACGTGAGACCAGAAGACAACTCCAGCGACGCATCCATGGGGCGACGAGTCGTCCCCCTTGGGCTCAGAATTTTTCGATCCCGTAAATTGAGGTGCCCATCTTTCATGAACGCTCGGTGCGAAAGCATAGACCATGAAGTCGTAGTTTCGAGAACATTCCATCCGGAGGCGGGAGGGAAGCCTCGGAAGAATTCCTCGATCGACGATTGAATCGTTGACTCAGTCACGAATCGACCGAGATTATTTGTAAGTGAGCAAGACGGAAAGTAAGAGGCGCCCCTACCCCGTCAGCCTGAGGAGGCTGTCTGGTTGAGCTGGAGACGATGTCCGGGCAGTTGTCCGTTAGACCCCAGACTCTTCGTCGAGCATGCAGTCTCTATCGCTCACTGAAGTATCTGAATGAATACATACTCCAGTACAAAATAGACCATTATTTCGTCGACTCTTCCATGACCGTTGTCCATATTCCGTGGGATATCTTCTGGCTAAACGATGATAATCCCTAGGGCGCCCCAGAGATCGAAGGAACCACTTCGGGCTTGAAGCTCTTAACTTTCCATCAGGGAAAGCCTCGATGACGTATCAGCCCGGATTCTGGGGCCGAACCAACGATTCTACCATCACAGGTCATAAATAACTCTCGTATAAAGAATGATAATTTTCTCGGTACAAAAGCTAGCGCTCTTTCGATTTCCACAGCATCGCGCTAAATTGTGTAGTGAGAGCCGCTCACTCACCGTCCGTAAAAATGAGAGTGCTCGCTATCCTGAGCTCCGTGATCTTTCTCTTCCTCCCGGCTGTTTTCTCGCATGGTCGAATGATCGAACCTCCTGGACGATCTACAGCCTGGAAATACGGTTTCGAGACTCCCATCAATTATAACGATCACGAACTGTTTTGTGGAGGTTTCGATGTAAGTCGGAGGTGTTCCTGTATTCGAAGACAGACTCTGTTTCCTGCGATTCGGATGTATGCGGCCTAATCGTCACTGCATACATTTTCGAGTATGGTTTCTAAGTGAGACTCAGGAGCGATTCAGAAGCTGTATCGATTGGGGATTTTGTCACAGCGTCAGCATTTTGAGAACGGAGGTCAATGCGGTATTTGTGGCGATCCTTGGGATGAGACCGTCCCCCGACCCCACGAGGACGGTGGCTTATATGGAACCGGAACAGTAGTCAGGAAATATCTACAGGTAGGTCCAGCCTTCTGGGGGAGAATCTCCCTCGACGGAAGGCTTGAGGAGTCCTGCAGATCGCAGAGACTCGAGAGTCGGGGAATGACGCATCCCGTTTTGTAGGGTGGAGAGATGGAGGTCGTGATCGAAGTCACCACTCATCATAGAGGCTGGTTCGAATTCAAGCTCTGCCCAGTTCAAGAAGGAGTAGAATCCACTCAAGCCTGCCTCGACCAGTTCCCCCTTCGTCTGAAAGGCAACGACTCTGCTAGGTACGTGATTCCCATTGATCCGTGACTTCGGGCAGCTTCCCTTTCGTTCAAAAACGCGCCGGGAGAGATCACGGAGAATTCGTTAAATGATTGGCGGACAAAAGATGATGGCTTTCTAGCAGGTGCTCGAGAGGACCTTTCGGGGTGGCCTGCGAATGTTCCCAGATGCGATCCGGCTGACCTGATTCTAGGAAGGGGGAGGATGTCCCGACCTGGATTCGCAGGATAACTTTTCAGCGAATAGATCAGATCAGCAGAATCCTCCGACTTTGGAGATATTGTTGTAGTCAGGGAGAAACTCCAGATCGCCTTCACGGTGAAGTTTCTGATTGCTCATAATCTTGAAGGTACGAATTGCCGGAAGGATCCAAGGAAGGCGCCTACCAATTCATCGTCGATCTCCCAGAAGCTGTGACGTGTGATCGGTGCGTCCTGCAATGGCACTGGACAACTGGTAGATACTTTCTCCGAATGACTCTCTGAATCCCCGCTTAGGAGTATCTCCACGCGTTTCCCTCGAGACGAGAAAATTTGGGAGGCTTAACTTCAGGTCGAAATAGAAAGTCGCTGTTCCGCAGGGAATCGTTGGGGCCTGTGCGAAGACGGTATCGGTCGTCTCGGCTGCGGTCCACAGGAGACGTTTCGAGCTTGCGCCGACATCAGCATCGCTTGATTCCAGCTTGAGATGGTGATCCTGATCGTTCTCTTGGGAACCTCGCGTAACGTTTAGGAAGTTCGATGTTGAATAAATTGGAGACGCCCATCAACACCTGCATCCGAACCTATCAGTTACTTTGATGCGTCTCATGCTGCGATCATGTCTCGTTGTTCCTCAAATCGCTCTATTCAAGGTTCCCAGTGGAAACGATTATTTCAAGCTCTCTGTGCAGTCTTTCGGGTGAATAAATTGACTCGCGGATGGGTTCATTCTTTGCTGCGCTGCATACGGAAGCGATGTGTCTCGGGAAACCGCGGTCTCTTCACCCCTCACCTCCAGGGCCATTTGGCCAAGAGGCCAGATGACGGACGTCTGCTTCGGCCGCTAGATGAGCGGGCCAACCGATTGTCATCGCAGCGCGCGATCGTGGAAGGAGAGCGTCGCGAATCGCCGGACGCTCCCGTTGAAGGGGCCACGAGGATGCGGGATCTAGGATCCGACAAGGAGTCGATCGCGTATCGCGCCAAATTGACCGAGATTTCGCTTTAAGAAGCGAAGAGCTGACTTCAGTGAAGAGCGCGAATATTCTCCTCTACTGCAAGACAACTCTAACGAAATGTAAAACCGATCGGGATATTTCATATCTTGACATTTTCCAAAGTGCTCCTCAACAACTCTATACCTTCTCAAAAACTTTCCGTGCATCACTGTGAGTATACTTTTTTTCACATACATTCTCCATAGGCAGCTCCCAGGCAGTATTGATTGAGTGTGTATTCTTCAGTATAGTTAATAATATTATATATATATAGCTCCGCTAATATTCATCTCTTAAGGAATGTGTCCGAAGGCAAATTACCGATGAGTGAGGAAGACAGTTCTCAAAGCACCGAACGTATGATGGATGGCATTCCTCAAAAACCATGATGGGGGACTCAGAGGTATCCAGATTCGCTTAAGAGGACAATGCGGATGGAGGCGACGCGGGAGAAGTGCTGGAAGAAACAGACAAACTCCACGAGGAGGCGAGAAGAAATATTGTTGAATATCTACAATGAAATACGCTGCGCGACTGATAGGGCCTGATCTTGATATGACAATTTGAGCATAGCCGCAACTGTGAACATTCGCGTACATACGGCACGGGAAGACATGGAGAATAAGAAGGGGGAAACCAACGGTACGGATGGGAAAGAGGATGAAAATTCAATAGAGGAGGCTGCAGCCGGAGACAAGCACGACGACAGCAGCGAAGCAGTCGCGGACGTCGCAGAGGACCGAAAAGATAAAACTGAGACGAGAAAACCGAAGGGAGAGAAAAACGGTGTTGCGAAGAAAGATCCCGAAGAAGCGGAGTCTAAGGGTTGGGCCAATCTCTCCGCCATGCAAATTCTAAATCCGTTGAGGTTTCGCGGAATTAGACGAACTCAGCGAATTTGGATACCTCTGAGTCCCCCATCATGGTTTTCAGGAATGCCATCCAACATACGATCGGTGCTTTGAGAAGTGTCTTCCTCACTCATCGGTTATTTGCCTTCGGACAGATTCCTTAGGAGATCAATATTAGCGGAGCCGCTGGCTCGCAAGATTGTCGATCAGGGTTGGCTCGTTCAGGTTTCCGACGACAGAAGGACCCGTCATTTTCGGTCATAGGTATACTTCTTCCACTCCTGACTGAGACTGCATAGAATGAACCCTAATGTTCTTCATCTATAATGAATTCAGGGAATACCGGTGAAAACAGAGAAGGTTAATAATGTATAATATTACTAGCGCGACCCGCGCGCTGTGCCGCGCCCCTGTGCACCACTTGATAAAAATTCACCAAGAAGGAACAATTTATAAGAACAGACTACATAAGTCGAAGAATCCCTCACAAATGACAACGATCAAAAAAAGACGACGGAACAGGGACCTAGTCTTCATATGACCTATTCTAAACGATTAAATACGTATAGCTTTTTTACGCTATACCAGATGAAGCCATTGCTAGTGCAAGCCTACCCTGAGATCTAATTCTCGCCAAGAGAAGCGCTATAAGGAAGGTTTTTCCTGTCCCCCCTTGTGCATCTAGAAAATAGAACCCCCCTTCACGCATCCTAATTGCTTCCTCGAGCGTATCGTAAACATCACGTTGTTCCGGTAACAATTTCGGGAGATTGGTTTCCACGAATAAGGCTAAATCCTGAGCATTGTAGTTCCTTTCGCGGTCAATATCAGGATCAGAAATTCTATTTCCTGATTTATCAGGTGCGAACAATCCGAGTTGATTCAATCGTCGGTTCATAATGGATAAGCAGGAATCTTCGATTAAAATCAAGGCCTCATTGAACATGTCCAATGAAAACGGAAGATTAGGATCATGGATTTCTCGCCGCCGATCTCTCAGTATATCTTCGGTCAAATGATTTTTCATATTTCTCCCAGAGATCTCGGGGATTCGATGGAGAACAGGTTGTCAATATAATAGCAAACAACGTACGTATTTGTTGCGGGTATGCGGTGTCCGCGGCTTCAGCCAAGTGAGTCTCATAGATCACGCCATCCACCGTTCTCAGGTCTTGGAAAGATTTCGGTCCTCGAACGTTGACCAACAACAGGCGAAGAAAGAAACATTCTTGATTATTCGGATGTACAGTATAAAGCCGACCTAGAGCATCGCATGAAACAAATCCAAATACCCCTCGACCTTTACCCTGCTTACGTCGTTTGAAACTCTTCGTCACCGTATTCCATGTGTAGTATCTCGGGACTTCCACATATAACAGAGACCTCGCGAATTCATAATTCGCACATAGCGCGAAGAAGGCAGTCAGGGTTGTTCGCGGCGGAGATAAAACTTTGGAATGAATGTTAGTTGCTGTGAAATACACGCGCTGTCCATTCTCCAGATGCACTGCCAAATGAACCACGGTTGGATATCTCTCATGAATGGGAAAAGAAAAATGCGCCATATGGCTTCTTTGCTGCTTATGCATCGTCCAATTCGGTATTGTTTGATCTCGTCAATCGGAGCTGAAGGATCTTTCATACCAAAAGCTGCCATATCGCTTCCTTCGTTGATATACTTGCAAATATATTTTATCGATTTCACGGAGTTGCAATATTCGACATTGATATGAGCTTTGAATATTTTGAAAGTATAGGGGAATACGGTACGATCCATCTGTTGTCGACTTCGATATCGCTGCTACGCACCTTCAATGTGAAAGTTTTCCCGCCGTCTTCCGCTGAGCGTCGACGACACAAGGGATAGCCATCATTTCCAGTCATAGTCTCTGCGAGTAGTTCCCTCGGATACCGTTTGGTGCAGAACCCATCCTCCATGTAAGGAGACTTGGTGTTGAAAACACCGCAAGGACCATGAACCATATTTTTGATGACTACTTCGAATAATTCAGGGTCTGTGTGTTTATCGGGAATCTCAGCTGAAATAACTTGATCAATTTTATCAGGTGTTATTTTGCTGATCAACCATATCAATATATGCGCGTGTGGCAATCCTCTTTTCTGCCATTCGATTGAATACATCCAACAGCGAGTTTCCCCGAAAACCCGCATCTTTACAATCAAATCCATGAAAGCTCTCAGTTTTTGTTTGAAGACTCGCGCGATCGAATCGTGCCGATCTGAGGCTGATTGCCCTGATGAGAGATGAACTTTGATTTCCTCCCAAGCTGGATTGCATGTAATCGTGATGAATAAATCGGGGCGACCGTAATTGCGAACATAAGTCATTGCGTCCTGCGAATACTCATGCATATGGCGAGGACTCCCCATGAAAGTTGCCGGCAGTATCACCATCTTCCCAAGATGATTGGGATCAATATGGCCATCAGAGGCAATCGCATCTCGTAAATGAACATATTCCTCTGACCGTAACTTGGTTTGATTCAATCGAATGAACAGGAGTCTTTCGGTTTCGATTTTCGCATACATATCAACAATATACTGATGGAATAATTGTCGGCAAAGCAGGATATGATTCTCTGCGTTATCGCGTATCATTATCCGGTATGAGTAGTAATTCATGGCACTGACCTTCTTACTGGTCTCTTCATCCGTTCCTGGATTTCTCATTCTCAGATTGAAATGATAACCATCTTCGCCTTGCCAGAATAAAAGCGGATGCTGCAAAGCATCATAGGAGCGATGGGTTTCCGAAACTCTCTTAAGACAGCCGTCTCTGCGACGAAGGACTATGTCTCGTGAGTTGAATTCTTCACCAACAATGACGATAGCCACTTCATCCGATGTTGGCGCATTGAATCGCCCTGCGTGTTCTCCTGGCGTCTTATCAGCTTTGATAACAACCACATAGTCATCTGTCGGCATGAGCTCAAGAGAAGATCTGAACACTCGTACTAATTCGTTGTGCCGATGCAGCGTGTCCTGTAAATCTGCAACAATCTCACGGATTGTTCCACTGTTGACACGACGCCTCTGATCGATTTGCTCGTTTGTCTAAGCCAG